GGCCAATTGATTCGAGCCATTCTGCGCGTTATTTATACCTATCTTGGTAATGATTAGTTCAATAGGAACTTCCTCTGTAATACCTGTGACCTCTTTTGTCCCAATTCTGTCGATTCGTTATCGGAATAAAAGAACTCGTTCGTAAAATAGTATACAGATATTTTTTACCACTTGCGTCAATGAAATTAGATTTTTTCTTTGTAACACAATGCATATATATTATTAATAAAAATATAATATATAGTATACAAGTCAGCAATTCGAAAAAAAAGAAAATATAATAAAAAAATATATTACGAATTCAATAAAATAAATTAAATTCGAGACACTATAATTTCTTTTTTTTTTTACTTTCTTTTACCCGAATATAAAGAAATAAAAAGTTATATCGAGCAAGGATAATTATTAACTCACACCATATATATATATACACCACATATGGTGTATATTCGTAGATTTCGGCAACAATACCAAAAAAGTTTCGCGAAGTAAAAGAAATCTTTGGTACCACCAATAACCTTCTTCGAACCTTAACATCGACTTATTTCTACTACTATTGTCATTTGATGGCTCCGTCTCCAATCCATTGAGAAGTTTCATCGAAGAGTTGGAATTTTCTATCGGAACATAAATCGGCTTCTGCGAGCGTTGTTTAGGTGATGAAAAGTTATCAATCGAAGTCTCTTAAGAACCTACGTAGTAGTTATTTACTTCAGAGAGAAAAAAAGAAAAAGAGAATTCTTTAAGTTTTCCATATAGCGAAAAAAAAGTTATGATGGGAAATTTTCAAAGTACGATAACAAAGTTTATATCGGACAAAGAGAAACGCACGATTTAATATTAATTCTCGTGTTCTCGTGTACTGCCTGATTATAAATGATTACAAACATTTAACTTGGAACGACGTCATTCACGAACTTATCGACTGTCTTCCGTGATACGTCAAGAGGAGAAAAATGAAAAAAAAAAGACAAAAAAAAGAAATATCCGGAAATCGCGTTGGGATGAGGGGGCTCGTGTCATGCGTCATACACGGAAGGAAAAAACGGAAGAATATATCGCAACGAGAGCATAAAACGTAAAATCGCGACTAACTTTCCAATGTACTTCCCCTTGAAAAGAGAGACATTAAATAACGCGATATTTCGTTTCATATGAAAAAAAAAAGAAAAAGAAACGTTAAACATTAAATAATATCGATGATCCTAATCGCTTCTGCTTATCACTTAAATTCCGTACTTATTTACGAAGATAGTATAAGATAAACCATTAATAATACATTATGAAAACTTACGAATATTATCAATGATGTAAAATGAAAGGAACACGAAGAAATTATTTATAAAAATTAAACTTTTGGAAAAGATTACGATTGTCTTGGATTAATAAGAAAAGGAAAAAGGGACAGAAGATACACCCTATTCTCTGTAAATTCTCTAGAAGGAAAAGCGTTATGTTCAACAGATGTCGGTCGTGGGACATTGTAGAGGAAGAAGAAGATGAGGGAGCTTCCCAAGACAAAAATGCCACTTGCGAGGACACATATATATATATGTATATGTATGTACGTACGTACGTAAAAGCATCCTCGAGAGAATACCCAATCGTGAGTTGAAAAGACGACGGAGAGGCCAAGCTACACGAAATCTGTTGCTGATGCAAACAGTTTACTGAGAAAACGAGAAGATCGTTCTTTCTGTCTCTCTGTCTCTTTCTCTCTTTCTCTCTTTCTCTCTCTCTCTCTCTCACTCTCTCTCTCTCTCTCTCTCCCTCTCTCCCTCTCTTTCTCTGTCTACTTTATAAGAGTCAGTTATACGTCGAAGTGAAGGCAGATAATATCTATCGCCCTTGGATATAAATAAATCGCAAAAAAAAATTTTACGTAAATGCAACGCGAACGTGATAAGAAAGTACATAGATATATTGGTTTGAAGTAAAGAAAGCATAGGGTGTATTTTATTGATAATATTTCTTCTTTCTCGATGGAGAAATTATCGATACGAAGTGAGTAAATATCGGCCAACATCGTAAACGAAAGATTTCTTTAAACTTTTACCGTGCTTTAGACATTTTTTTTTGTATACAAGAATTTCTAAAATAATGTTTTCTTTATTTTAATTGCCATAACTTAATCTAATGTCCCTACTTTAACTTATTTTCTTACTGGCACATAATTTTTTTTAACCAGTGACTATATCGAGATATCGCGAAAGGTAAAATAAAGCTTGCTGTATAGCATAATGGCACGCAAAATAAATTCAAGAATCGATTCTCCTTGACTTCTTACATATCTCAAAATGCTCATTTCTTCTCCGTTTCTCCCTTTCTCTTTCTTTCTCTCTCTCTCTCTCTTATCTTATTGTTAAACAAATACAAATTTTTCAGCAAATAATTAACAACTCCTTCCGAGAATATTCAAAAATTACCTATTTATACTCGTATCATTTTCTCGCTCGAAGTTGATTAGATATATAATCATAATACAAATGCTGAAGAAAATTGGATATTTTTGATTATGACTTTCCATAATTTCGTGTTAAAGTAATACGAAGTAACCAGCCGCCATTTTGTTCTCAAACATACATTGCAAAACGCGGATGTATATAACAGCGTTTATCGATTTTCACGTGTCGTGTTCGACACAAGAATAATCCGCCATTTTGTTTTCAATTTTCTCGATCTCGATCTTAAAGTGGATACACAATCGAAGAAGAAGAGGAGGAATAGGATAACGATAAAATTTCGTAGATTGTCAAAAGTCGGTGACTTGACATCTGTACGTATGTATCTATGTACGTAAGCATGTATATGTGTATGTGAATCTCATGAATCGAGAGAGCGCGACTCGCCAGTTTCGAGAGCCCTCCTGAAACATACATCCTTCCTCCCGTCTCCCACCAGTGCTCTTCACCTCATCCTTCTCCTGCTCCTCCTTCTACTCTATCTCCACAGGGTCCATCATCCCTACCAAAACATAGCGCAGGATCAAGGCTCACGAGGGCATTTCGCTGTGTTCAACTTGGAAGCCCTCCAATGGGCTTCGTTCCCTCTCTCTCCCTCTACTTTTGTCCCTCTTTCTCTTTCTCTCTCGTTCCTTTGCTAAAACCCGTTTTAAAAGTCCGTAGGAATGCGTTCTCTCTGCGCGGGCTGAGAGAGGAAGAGAGAAAGAGAGAAAGAGAGAAAGAGAGAAAGAGAGAGAGAGAGAAAGAGAGAGAGAGAGAGAAAAAGAGAGAAAGAGAGAGAGAGAGAGAGAAAAAGAGAGAGGTCTTTCACCTCTCTTTCGCGTGTAAGAGAGCATAGATTTTTCATGGCGAACCTGAGTATGTAAAAATTGGCGGGAAATTCGAAAAACCGATTCGACGATTCGCTCGAGAAAATTTGTCACGATTTCGAAAATCTTCTTATCGATAAGTTTCCTTTCTTTTATCTCTCTCCCTCTCTCTGAAAAAGATTGACAAAAGGAAACGTTATTTCATCACGGCTCGTTCGAAAGTCCGGATGTAAACACTTCATCGTCGTATCTCTATAAATATTTGCTCCCAGGAATCCGCTCTCTCGACCGTAGTCCTTTGCAAAGGACTAAGGTATACGACCGTTTATCTGATACGTATCGTCAGGATTGTAAAGAACGAGGGAAAGCGAGAGATCGGATGGAAGATCGAAAAGATAACGATAAAAAAGTTCTCTTTTCTCGGAACCGAACACGATCGAAGTTTGTAAAATGTATAAATCTCTAGAAGATATTTAACCTATTTTATCTTTTAAAGAAAAAAGAAAGAAATAAGAAATATCCTACGTGTTATATTGATAAACCGTTGAAGTATCTAAGATCTTTCCCGATCAAACGGAATCGAAGAGTAATCGAAGAAAGAAACGAGCGGAAATTACGATTCCTTTTTAAATCGTTCGACCGATTCGTTTAAAGATACATTTAGCGACCGAATAGAATAACACGGATCGTCGAGTTCGGAGAACGCTTTCATCGTTGTTCTTCTGCACTCTTGGAAATCGACGGAGTTTGAATTTACGAGCGAATAGAATATTCTTGAGCCTTGCAATGTATGTATTTATGTATATATTACAACGGTACAGCATATCTACAAGGTACTCTTACTTTTCTTTCTTTCTTATGTTTTATGCGAACTATCTAATTGCGATATAGGAATAAAATAAAATAAAATAAAATAAAAAAGAAAGAAGAAAAAGAAATTAATAAATACTAATAAAAATAATAAAATAAATAATGATTACTTAGATAGATGATAAATTCTGAAATATGACGCATTCCGGTGCATTTCGAAGCTTGACAGTAGAGACGCCATTTTGAAACGATCTGCGAAGGAACAACCTACCCCGAGAATCGCGATCGAGCGGTACACAGGAGTAGACCGGATAGATTACTACTACTACTACACTACTACGTAGCTGTTACAATCGAATCCCGTTATCCGGATATCCGAAGGCGTACAGGTTCGATCTGTGCACCGAACGCGTTGATTGGTCGATCCAAATGGCAAACGAAACGAGCGAGAAATTCTCTCGTAACTTTCACGAATTATTTACAAGAACAACGATAATTATATTACGATAAAGAACATCTACTTGATAAAATATATTAATAATAATAATAATAATAATAATAATAACAATAATAACAATAATAACTATAAAAATAAAAATAAAAATAAAAATAATAATAATAATAATAATAATAATAATAATAATAATAATAATAATAATAATGCTAGACTCTTACTCCCGACGTTCCTCTTCCCACCCCAACGAACGACCAATCAGCGTCCTCCTTCGGGAGCGTTCGAAAAACTACAAGAGCAAGTACTCCACCTACAAGATTACTCACGCATATAATAATCTGTCGATGATAGATAAATCGAAAATACAGGAAAAGATTTTATCTAATCGGGTCTTCGTTGATCTCCGTATGTATATATTACATAATATATATATATATATACGTACATACATACATACACACACAGGGTGAGGTGAGAGAGTTCGTAGCTCCCTCGGTACATCAAAGTTGAGCAGGACTTCGAAGCTGGCGCGACAAGGAGGGAGATGGTGGGAGAGGCAGGCGAGAGAACGATAGATAGAGATAGAGAGAGAAGAGGGGGAGTGAACCAGCGTCCCGCGCTCCCCGTGGAAACGCGACGCCTAGGAATGGGAAGCTTTAACGCGGGTAAAATCCATCGATCAGCCGTTCTAGAACGGGCGAGGTGATCAACCTCGTTGTCCTTCAACAATGACGACGACGACGACAACGATGATGAAGACGGCAACTCCCACGATGTACATAAGGATACAAAAACGATGCAGTGTGTGAGAGGAAAGGTAAGAAAAAAATAAAAGGAAAGGTAAGAAAAAAATAAAAGGAAAGGTAGGTAAAAAAGAGGAAAAAGAGAAAAGGAAATGAAAAATAAAACCAAGACTAAACTCCGACGGACTTACCTCGTACTTGATACCATTCAGTCGTAGCCACGTCTCGACCTTGAGGCAGTAAGGCGAAATCGAGGGCAAAAGCGCAGTACGGAAAAATTGATAGAGATAAACAACGTCCTTCTCGTAGTTGGTCTTGTGAACGGTGACGGGCTTCGCCGGTGCGGAGGACGCCGCGGAGGCGGCGGTTCCGCCGCCGGCACCGGCGGCGTCGGCCGTCTCCTCCTTTTTCCCGGCCTCCTCCTTCTTAGCGGCGTCTTTCTCCTCTTGCTTGTTGTCCGGCGGCGTCTCGTCCTTCAGAGCTTCTTTCATTTCTTTCACGTCCTTTATCTCCTTACTTTCGGGCCCGTTATTCTCCGTTTCGGTAGCCATCGTCATTTCGAAACTGATTCTCCTTTACTCTCAAACGACGATTGCCCTTCGTACGCGAAAGTCTTTTTCTCTTCTCTGATATGCGTGTCTTCTCTCCTCTATCTTTATCTCTATCTCTAGCTCTATCTTTCTTTCTTTCTTTTTCTCACGACCGATATGTCTATATATCAAGTATGTTTCGTCTTATAATATATGCGTATCTATGCGTTTGTAAAAAAGAAGCGAAGTATACGCACGAAGAGCGATCGGAACACTCTCAGATTGTAGCAGCAACCACCGACGACTAGTCTCGACGACAGCACGCACCGCACGAACGTAACGCCGGGTACTCCTCGATGCACGTCGTCTCTCTCTCTGCCTTGCCGGCCGGCTCCTTCTCCTCTCGATACCCCCCCGGTGTGTCTACGCCGGAGAGAGCCCCGTCATTCCACTCGGCGACGCTCCCCTCGCTCCCTCAATCTTTCCCACCCTACCGTCCCCCTTCTCCATCCCGTACATACACTCGATCAGCGCTTTCTCTTTCTCTCTCATACACTCCTTTCGTCCTTCTCGCTCCTGCGCAAGGCCTACGCGAGCGTTCGGCGCATGCGCGAGCGCCACACCCCGCCGCCGTAGACACGGACGCCATATTTAATTGCTCCGCCACCCCTGGCTCGCCTTCCTCCTCCTCCTCCCCCTCTTTCTGCTCTGGCTACTCTATACTCTTTATTTCTTTCTTACTCTTCATCTATCTATCTATCTATCTCTATCTCTATCTCTATTTCTCTCTTTCTATCTCATTCACTTTCAGAGAACGCTGACGCCCTACGCCCTTCGGCAACGTCGCCACCATCGCTGTGCGCGACCAAGAACCCGGCAACGTCGCGCGCAACCGAGAAGAGAGAGAGAGAGAGAGAGAGAAATGCGAGAGCTATACCAAAGAACACCCTTTTCACGGATTACTTTTTTCCACCTCTCTACGTGCCCAGACCATAGACTTCTTTCTCTCTCTCTTGTTCTATGCTTCGCCCTGTATTTGAGGAAGTACTTGCGAGCTGGATTCTATGATGCTTTAGCTAGATTCTCTTTTCATTCTCTCTCTCTCTCTCTCTCTCTCTCTCTCTCTCTCTCTCTTTTCTCTCTCTCGCTTTCTCTTGCTCCTTAAGAATTCCCTCTGCCGGTATGGAAGACATGTATCCTCACACATCCCTCGGAGACAAGGCATCGACTTTTCCAACCTTCTTACCAATCTCGTTATCATCAATATTGAAAGGAAAGAGATTAGTAAGATTGTTTGGTGGTATTAAAAAGAATCTTTTCGTCGCTTAGCACACGCCCTCGACACTGGCTATGCTGGATATCAAATCGAATTCGTTTGAAAGGGGCTGTTAGCTTACGTTGCTTCGCGTTTTGCTAAGGGTAAAGAAGGGTCCGGCTTAATGAATTTCCAACGAACAGATTTAGAAACGCTTATTATGTAGATACATACATATGCCACACGTATGTATTTATGTATATTCGTATTTGTTCTATGTACACATTCGCCAGTATAAGATAGGGGTGGTGATACACGCATATGACTTTTCAACCCTACTGGTAGTAAGAAACATTCATAAAACGTTAGCTGGCAATGTAATTTAATATATATAATCCAAAAGCACCGAATCGAATTACATCAGAACGAAAAATACGCTTCTCATTCTTTAATCTCGTCCAATCGTCAAAAAGTTTCAATGATTTTTGACATACCAGAGGAACAAACCAACGAACGAACCAACGAACGGGATCGATATCTTTATTGTTTACCAGAAAAAACGAAGGATCACAAGTCACGCATGTCATTCTTATTTCTCATCTTTTTTATTCTTCTCCTTCCCTCTACTTCGTATCTCTCTCGGCGGTTACTTTGAACGTTTTATGATTAAGATAACTGCCCCTCTTTCTCTTTCTTTCTCTCTCTCTCTTTTTCTCTCTCTCTATTTCTCTCGCTCTCTTTCTCTCTATTTCTTTCCTCTCTCTCTCTTCTGTCTTTGAGATAATTGTAATCGCATGAAGCAGCACGCTATTTGTCTACGTTGCTTTTAATTGACTGACAGACCAAAAGAATTCCCTCGAGGAAAATAGTAGAGATAGATAGATAGAGATAAAGAAAGAAAGAGAGAAATAGAAAAAACTATATTAATCTATCTTTCTCATTCCATCTATTATCGAAAATAAATTCTTTGGTTCTTGGTTTCGAAATATCGTGAAACATTTCTCAATATTCAAGATATGTATCTGTATATAAACATGTTTAAAAGTACCCAAGTGATATATTATGAAAAAAAAATACATTGAGAATGATTCCCGTCGTACCACTGATTATTTTATACGATGAGAAGAAAAAAAAGCATCGTTCGATTTTCGCGAATTACGAGAACGGATTCGTGAGCGAGGTTGAAACTCTTTTGTACTTTAATTCTCGTACTATATAGAAAAGTTAGGGTGTGTTCCGGGGCTTCCTCACGATCGAACAAGGATACTTTCCTCGGTTATATGTGCAGATATACTCTAGAGAAAGAGAAAAAAAAAGAATATATATATATATATATATATATATATATATATATATATATATATATATATATATATATATATAGAGAGAGAGAGAGAGAGAGAGAGAGAGAGAGAGAAAGAGAGAGAGAGAGAGAAAAAGGGAGAGAGAGAGAAAAAGAAAGAGAGAGAAAGATCTCCAAAAGTATGGAAATGGTCAAAGGATAATCCTTTATAGATAAGTAAAGACATCACACCGTTTATATTGTATATACATACATATATACATACATACATACATATATACATAGATACTTGTACTATTCGTCGTTCCTTTTCGGTTCCTCACGATCATATAATTTTCTTCTTGGTCCTTTTCCTCCTTCCTCTCGATTGTGAAAAAATTCAGAAAAATTGAAGAAAAGACAAAAAGAAAAAGAAAGACATCATAGTCTTTCACATCACAGTCAGTTTGTACATACATACATACATATGTACGGACTGTCGCGGATCGATATCGAGACAGTTCATTGTAAATACGTAATACATTTTATTCAATCTTATACATGTCATCACATTATAAAATATCGAAGATTTTTCAATTAAGATCGATTTGCCGTTCGCTTTTCTCCCCTCTTCCTCCTCCTCCTCTTCTTCCTCTTGTTATATTGTTTTATCCTGCTGAAATCGGATCTATATCGTAAAAGAAAAATGAAAAAAAAAGAAAAACAAAGACAAAAAACGAAAAAACGAAAACGGAGTGAGAAGAGAAAGATGACTAAGATAAATTTCGATATTAAATTATAAAATTCTTTATAGAAATATACAAACGTCGACAAACTATGTTTGTCTTTTAAACGAATATATATATATATATATATATATATATATATATATATATATATTGTTTTTGCTAATCTTTTATATTTTTATTTTTTTATGTATTCATCACCACGTACATTCTCGTCTAAATATCTTATTACGTACGATTTGATTTCGTCAAATTGTTTTCTCATATGCAATGTCACGAAAAAAGAGAAAAAAAATACAAAAGAAAAACTAAAAAGTATGTGTCCTCTTTTGTCGCATATAAAAATGTACATGTTACATGGAGTGGAAAAAATACATGCGTACGTATATATGTATCTATGTAGAGTCTGTGCTTTTTGTTTCTTTTTCGTATCTCTTTCTTCGTCTGTAAAAAAGTCGTGTAAAATCAACATTTGCTTCGACATCTAGAAAACTCTCCTAGGAGTCAGTATGCATGATATGTGTATATATATATATATATGAATATATATATATATATGTGTATATATATATATATATGAATATATATATATATGTGTATATATATATATATATATATGAATATATATATATATATATGTGTATATATATATATGGATATATATATATGTATATATATATATATACACACTCATAAACATATGTATATGTATGTATGTTGTATATATTAATTCCTTGGCTACGATATTACGTTATATTCGTTAAGTATACATAATTAAATTCAATGACCCGAATACAATTCATTTTTTTTCACCTACTTTAGTTTAACTTCATTCTATCTGTTAAAAAATCATTTTATCTTGTTTCTTTTCATTTTTCTTTATTGAATTTTTATTTTTCTTTTTTTTCTATTCGATTCCACTGTGAATTGACAACGATCCTCGTTCTTTCATTATTTTTTTTTTCTTTTTTATTTTAACGTTTTAATGGACCATTTCTTTATACTTTCTTGCACTTTCTTCTACCAGAAAGATACATATGTCGAAATCTTCATCCATTCAAGGGCTATCGGAAAATTTTACGAGCACTACTTTGTTCTAAGATCCCTATCGGTATTCTAATCTGATTTACTCATCGTCAACGGCGTATTTCATGAAAAATTTTATTACATAACTTTTTCTTTAAACGATATAAATAAATTGTATATTCGTCATCGCGTTGTATTATCTTTCCACTAACGTTCGACGAAGTTAAATCAATTTTTATTTTCTTACGTTAATCGTCGTAAAACTATAAATTAATTGCCACTTCTCTTCAATTAAATAATAAGATAATTTTTATCTTTTTTTCGCGTTAAACGAACATGACGAAGTTTTAAAAAAGTTAACTACGAAGACGGATTTGCAGAACTTACTTTACGATATCGATGTATTATACTCGGAATACAATGCGATAATATATTATCAAAAGTGCAGCCTACATTTACATATTTATATAAAAAATGTAACAGTGCAGAGAAAGTTGATAAGCTTCGCACTTCTGTTTTTTTCCTTCTTTTTCTTTTTTCTTTTATCTGTATATGTGTAATTATATTTTATATGCATGAAATATGGAAAGTGTCTTATATTTATGTATATGTATATGTATATATGTTTGTATGTATGTGTGTGTATATATATATATATATTGTGGATATATATATATTGTGTATATATATGTACGTAAATAAGGAATAATAAAGTATTTTTTTCCATAATTTTACCCTGTATGTGTGTGTGTTTTTTTTAGATGCATATACGCTTTTTCTTTTCAATATATACTATTACACGAAACAAATTACACGCAATGAATAGATGAATAACAATTTGATGATTTTCTTTCTATACATATACCTACTCTCTTCGAGACAAAAATCGACAAATCTTTTTTTTATTATTGTAAATCCCAAGATTAGCCTGTATCGAACAGTTAAAAAAATCTTCAATTTCATTAATTAAGACGTTCTTACGTGCTATTTGAACCTATTGCAAAAAGCAATAAGTTTAAGAAAAAAATAATAATTAAAAAAATTATTTTCATAAACATGTTATTAGTGTGTCGTGCTCGCTCGAACAAAGACACCGCACATGCATGCAAATTTCACACGCACACATGCACGAAAGCGAATAATAACAATAATAATGATAATAATAATAATAATAATAATAATAATAATAATAATAATAATAATAATAATAATAATAATAATAATAATAATAATAATAATAATAATAATAATAATAATAATGATAATAATAATAATAAGAAGAAGAAGAAGAAGAAAAATAAAAATAATAATAAATTCTATTAATAAATTCTAATCTTCGTGAATCAGTGCAAATTCGCTTTCTCTACAGTGTTCGCAGAAATGTTTTATATTTAAGACAATTACGTATTTACAAACGAGAAAAAATTAAAAAAAAAAAAGAAAAAGAAAAAGAAATGATGGACGTATAAGATATTAGGCCAAAGCGAAGAAAAAATCGACGTAAACGTCGTGAAATATGTATCTTATGAATATAAATATAAATATAAATATAAATATAAATATAAATATAAATATAAATATAAATATATATGTATATGTATATATACATATATATATATATATATATATATATATATATGTACATAACACCTATTACGTATGTAGGCTAAAATGAAATTTTGTTAATAAAAAAGACAAAGCAGCAGCTTATTTTTTTCTTATTTACTATTCTTTTTTTTTTGTTATAGCTTTTCGTTATGCTTCTGCTTTCTCAAAACGCGATTTACTTACGTCAGAAGTTACTATCACATCCTAGGAAGGTCACTGTTAAGGAACGAGTTACCCGGGCAATAATCATATTTTCTGTTCTTTTCTTTTCTTTTTTACAAGTACTCCCGATTACCTCGTTCGGTCTCAGTTTCAACAATCTGTAATCGTTTAAATTAAATTCATTGAAGAAGGAAAAAATCAAATCTGCTTTTTCTCTATCACGAATATACGATAAGTATATGCTATAATTAAATGTATAATATATAATACTAATACTAATACTAATAATAATAATAATAATAATAATAATAATAATAATAATAATAATAATAATAATAATAATAATAATAATTATTATAATTATAATTCGTAGCAAATAATCGTCTATCATACGCTTAATCGTAATATGCAAATTAGAGAAATTAGACTCCATGTAAAATGTAATCTCTCTATATTGTGCGCCAGATTACACATTACACCTTGTTAAATTACATACTTTAATAATATTTAAACGCACGTATATATCGCCGTAAGAATATACATACGTGAGAGAATGAGAACCGTCGTTGGTAAAACTATCTTGTTTTGTCTTTTATTAGTACTATATTTTTCTTTAAAATCAATACGATCGAGTCTTTTTTTTAAGAGATTTTCTATTAATAAGTATCCGAAATCACTCGATCATTTCTATATCAAATACATGATCCTATGAATTCAATCGAATTTAACAATAATTATAATAATAATCTCTTGATTTTTAAAATTCGACTAATGCATATAAAAAAAAAACCAATCGATTATTTTTTTTCTCTACATTTATTAGACTACGAAAATGTTTGATCGCCTGGTGACTATAATCAAGCTTTCCAAGTTAAAAAAGTATTCGCATGATCATTCCTATAAATATGTTTGTATACGTGCGTGTGTGTACGTTTTTCTGGTATGTGTTTGTGTGTTGTTTATAAATCCATCGAGCAAAGATAAAAATTCGATTGGAAATGATTCAATTGATAATTTGAATTTTTAGATTAGACAGTCATACGTTTATAATTCGTTGTACCTACATATATCATACTGTGTAAAATATAATATAAATAAAGGAACGTGCTATGTATAAAACTTTGATCTTTGACCATTGCTTGAAAGTGTTACGAGATATCGAAATGGAAATGTTATTATTCTAAATATTTATTTATCTTTTTTTTATTACCAACAAATTTTATAAAAAAGGATCACGTTTACATTTCCATAAAATACTAATTAATTATTCGAACTAATATCTCATGTATTCGTATCGATATCTATCTATATAATGCTTTCGTCGTTTTTATTTCATTTGTCGCCGCTTCCCCCACCCCGTGTCTCTCTATCTATTCGCCAATTTGTAAACATAACACGTTCCTATAAAAATGCGTTCTAACGAACTTCCGTAAAGATCTCTTCGCTTTTTTGATAATATCAATGTATAGTTGAAACAACACCGATCTATTCGATAATAGTCACTGCTATGAATCATAGGTAATGGTTGACATCCTGCATCGCTATCAATAACTTAGCACGATATATTTATCCCGGTAATAAAGCGTACGTAGAAAACGTTATCGCACTAACAACACAGTTAAGTGTGCAAATGATTAAATGAAAAAAACAGAAAGTAAAAAGAATGAATGAATGAATGAATGAATGAATGAATAAATGAATGAATGGATAATTGAAAAGAAGAAGATGGAAGATTAATAAATGTTTCGAATAAAAAGCTTGATTATAATCGAGAACATCTATACGATAAAAATGAAACGATCGTCTTTCTTCGTAATACGACGATCAGAGAAGATACTTTTTCCACTACGTTAGTCAAACGTTACTCTATTTTCTTCTCTCACTCCTTCGTCCTTTTCTTTTCTCCCTCCCCCCCTCTCTCTCTCTCTCTCACTCATTACCTACCAATAATAACGATACACATAAATATAAGCCTTATGGGCCTAACATAAAATTTTTAATCGATAATCAAACGTAATTTCTTTGAACGTAATTTCTTTTAAAAAATCGTTATTTCTTTGAAAAGAGAGAGAAAGAGAGAGATAAAAGGAGAGAGAGAGAGAGAGAGAGAGAGAGAGAGAGAGAGACACGGTCACGAACAAAGGATTCACTCGGTTCTTCGACAATGGAGTATTGTTTGAACAATAATTAGCTGCCTAAAAGTGCGTCTGTATTTAGACGTAGAATTCTATACCTCGGGTGAGTTTGGAGTGGTCGTGTTGATATGATCTGGTAAACAAATCCTCAGATCCCGCTCGTCTAACTCACTCTCAGTGTCGATGCTAAAACTTCGAACGGGTTGATGATCACCATGGCCGGTCCAACGTTGTTTCCAACTTTCTAACCTCATGACCTGTGAAAATATATAATACAAAACTGTAATGTGTACCATTCGATTCGTTCGATATCATCGAGCGTCTTCTTCGTTTTTCCTCGTCCTATTTCTGTCATTCTGTCCTTCGCTTATCAAAACAGCAACAAAAATTTATACTCGGGCAAACGATTTTTCCTAAAAACGACGCTAGATCGATAACGACGAAATCGTTTTTATCGACACTGATGATCATATGATCCTATTTCGTATACATTATAAAAATTATTCTTACGATCGAGATATAACATTATTATATACAGTATCTGTTTGAACTTGCTTACATTAACAATGATATTATTATCAATTTATAAATAATAATAAAATCTTTAATATTATTTGCCATATACGTCATATACGAAATACGAACGTATGAACCAATTTTATACGACCACCCTACATTTTCTAAAAATGAACGAACGAAGCCTCTTATATGTAATACTTCGTAGTATTTTTGAATGATCTTTAAGATCGATTCCTACGATTTACGTTAGTGTTATTCTACTGATAACAATGGCGACGCAAAATAGTGCAAACGACACATGCGACTATTATTGTATGGACGATGCGACATTCTTGTGCTTATGATTAATTACAGCATCGGCTAAGCGATATCATAAAGAATTACGAAAGAAATTATTCGTGCGTATATGTAGCGCGATTGAAAAGTAAAAACATTGAAATAAAATGAGGAAATAAAATAAGAAAAAAATAAAGAAAAGAACGAAAACGTGTGAAATATATGTATGTAGGATAGTGATACAAACATGCAGTATTATCAAAGACCCAATACCTATTAATTATTATAATTATTATCATCCGCTGGAAAATAGGAATAAGAAAGACGTAATATTTGGTTATAATTAATAATTTCAAGATACACGTATATACTTCGCGAACCGTCTTGACTAACAACCGACTTGAGAGGTAGCGTAGGAATGCCTATGATTATTTACATTACGAATTCTTATATACAATCTTATACATCTATGAAAGTCAAAACTAAATGACACGGTATAAACAAATCAAGAAAAAACAAGAAAAAAAAATACGATTCCTTTCGTGGAACTCTACTTATTGTTATCGTAATATGTTTCATTTCGAATAATATAATGAAAAAAAATATATGTTCCAAGATTATATAATTGTAATAAAAATAATAGAAAAATACACGAAAGATAATAATTAGACTAATACGACTAATTATTAACGAATAGAAATGTATGATAACAACGAATTTTTGAAAATTTCACAAGTAGGTATATACCATGCTACGCATATGAAATGATAAAAAATAATGCTTACAGATGGGTAAAGACTTACTCGACCCAGCGCCAAGGCTCAGTCTCCGGGCTGGTGATTGGCGTAGGGAACTAAGGAGACAGAGATAACACAGCAGTAGAGGGTTAGTTTTACAGAAACGATTAGATCCTTCTATTAGTATTAACGTAGTGCCTTGGTACCTTTATACACTAAGGATTAGCAGTGTAGTCCTTCTTGTTCTCATTACACGGTTTACGTAATATCTTCCAACATGAACAAAAGTTATCATATTATTATTTAATAAATTCTATATATCCTAGAATTGTCTTCAAAGTGTTCCGACTTAATATTTCACTTAACTCTATAGTATGTGTATTCTCTATGCTGTGCTAACTCTCACCGACTAATGCAACATTTTCAAAGGGCAATGGGTGAGACGGATGAATTTTTAATGAATGTTGTCAACGATCAATGTTGAACTTGGCTATATTAAGAACGTTATTAGTAATAATATATTATCTTTTACAAAACTATACACAAAACTATATAAAATATTACATATATTCTGTCTAGAAAAGCATTAATCTAACAATGTTGTTACATACTTCTGTGAATAGATATGAAGAAATAAATGGTGTTTAATGGTAACAATAGCTTAATATAAACCAGCGCAGTGGCAATGTATAAAAGCATCTTTTATGACTTGATGTGCCATAATTTGATACTTATATCTGCAAAAATGAAATATATAAAGAAAAATAATCACTTGAGAAATAAGTAAAAGCTGTGTGAATAATTTTGGCCTTAGCAAATTCGGAATGGGATGAACTTTCATTCAAAGGAAGTCAATATCACGATAAACGATAAATGACGTAACGTACTGCGTCCTTAATGCATAGAGGTACCTGTTCGATCACATTATTTTCACACACGATGTCACAAAAGCTGTGTTGGTGTGATTATGTATACCAACTGCAACTAATAATGGATGCTACAAATATACTCTATATATAAATAAGTAAACTATATGCTGAAACGATAAAAATGCGTTCGTTCAGTCTCGTGTACACGTGTGTGTCAAAATGTAGTAAAGTCTCTAATCTAAAGGATTGTTAGAACGAGGAATGACCTTCCACCAAAGGCTAAAACTGAGAAAACATATAGATGTTATGAATGAAAGTTATAAACGATAAGATTAAACGTATCCAAAACCGATCGAATTATTTTTCATCTTGCCGTTATCATGTATTCAAATTTATGTAAGTTTATAACTGAAAGCAATGTCAATACTAAGCGTGGTAATTAGCGTTACATTGCAGTAAGAGGTGCAATTTGTGCATGACATTATTTATGAGTGTAACACAATAATTATTGTTACAGTAGAAAAGAAGCACAATTTACAATACCTTTTTGCCCCACTGACGTTTTACAATGAATACACACCAATTAATAATTTTACAAATTTTACTGGTATGATTTTAAAAATTTGTGCTTACAGTAACATAAAATTATAGAAAAAACAACTATATATATATGTGTATATATATATATGTGTGTGTATATATATATATATATATATATATATATATATATGTATATATATATGTATGTATATGTATATACATATCACATTAATTATCCATATTTTTGTACAGGTCAACATTTAAAGACATGCACAAAAATTTAGAAAATATTTTTTATCTGAAGTTATTCACAATTGGATTGAAATTCATATAAATAGAAAATCTTTGATATGGGTAGGATGTGCATCAAATTTGGAGGCAAACATGTAAAAAAAAATGCATGAAAAGCAGTACCATTGAATATTAGTAAGAACATTAAATAAGTGATATTTTGATATCTTAAACTTCAGCTTTTATATATAAACACTTTATCCTATTCTCAAAGTATTAGTGAGTTGTTATGTGTATGAATCAAGTAGAGAAATAACCAAATTATAAAAACTTAGTTCGTATCACGCTATTAGATAATACATCTTTACTCTTTTATTTCACTATTTAAACTTATTACGAGAAGATATGCGGGGGTTTTCAATATTTACGAACTACAAGCTTAACATCTTCTAATTTTTATACGCATATATGTAGACATAACGTCTATTTATATCTTGGGGTACTAAGAAACGATTGTTAATCTATAGGCTCCTACGGTTACAGCTACTTCTATGTAATCTGTCAAAAATTACAGGTTTTATATTTAAATACAATAAACGTAATAATAATTTTCAATTAAAAAATAATAAACTTTCGAATTAATATCTTTAAGCTAATATAAAAAATTGATATTCTAACTAATCCTAATTTTCTCTTTAAATTGCATTCCTTGTAGAGATCATATTAGGTTTATTGTCGTTCATATGCAAAAAACTTACCACCTTATCTAGTAATATACGAATAACAATGATAATGACAGATGTGATTAAGGAATATTATCCAAGTTTGTCATGATCATAATCATAAATGACAAAACTTCACCCCTTACTGCAACTTTTAAAATTGCTTCTATGTGATGCAATTAATAATATAACTCTGTCTAGCTTATTCTCAATCAATTTTCTCTACTTACCTCTGCTTTTAGTTCCGCAACTTTATCTTGGAGTTCTCTTACTCTCTCACTGTCATCTAAATTATTTCTTAGCTCACCTTCCGCATGCATTTCTTCGTTCTACGATGAAAATGAAAAAACACAAAAAAATAGAAAAATATATATATATCAAGAAAGCAATAATTAACCCTCTATGGGGCGAATTTTTGTTTTAAATCCAAAAAAAATTAAATTAAGATTTATGCGCCATCTCATGAAAAAAGCTATAATTATTTCGAAAAATCTCGATAAATTAAAATGTGACCTGAAAGTTACACCGGCCCATAGAGGGTTAATAAGAAATTTGATTAAATCAAATCAAATTACCTTTAATTCGAGCAAAGAAATTTTCTGCGTGAGCTCGGCAACTTGTTGAGCATGTTCAGCATCACGTATCCTAGCCATCATTGTTTCATCTTTTATTTTCGATTCCAAATCGGCGTACTTACGCTGTTCATCTCGCAACTTGGCAGCGAGAACTTTTTCCGCAGCACGTGCATTCTCCAATTCTTCCTTAAGTACCTTCCCATTTTCATCTTGCCTACGCAATTGATTTGTAGCGACCTGTACTTGAGTTTCGAGTTCCATGACCTTAAGCCTAAGTTCTTTGACCTCAGTAAGAGCTTCCATTTCTCGAATTCTGGTGGTCATCAGATCTTCCTCGTACTTTTGTACTTCGTGACCTCTATTTTCCCAAAAAAGTAACTTTTTCGGTGTTGAATCCGCTGCTGGAGCGGATTGAGCAGATCTATGCTCCTGTAGATGCCTTTGCCACGCAGCACTCAATTCTATAACCCTTTGTCGGAGATCCTACGAGAACATCATAGTTATAAAAAAAAAAGAAGATATGGTATGATAAAAGGAGCGCAAACGAAATAAAAAGATAATAATTTTTACCTTCAAAGAGAGATTCGCTTCTGCCTCTCTGAGTTTAACAGCAATCAGTTCTTCCTGCAGATGAGCAACAGAATTATCAGGTGTTGATTCGCGTAAAGTCTTTTTGTCTTGTTCCAATTCCTGTATTCTGGCCCTAAGTTCCCTGATCGTTACACCATTTTCAGCCTCGCTTAGTCTGACCCTAACCAATTCCTCTTGTAGGCACTGTATCAGTTCCTCCTTTTGCGATAAAGCTTCCTGCTTCAACAGGATCTCGTCGAGCGACGATTGTCGCGAGTTCACGTTTTCCTCTAAAAGAAGAGACAACGATCTGAGTTCATCGTGCGCTTGTTCGAGCTGATGACTGGTCTCAAGATGCGTGTGTCGAAGGGCAGCCAATTCCCTTTGCACTACAAACGCAGTTTCCTCTTCTTCCGCACGAGAAACTTGACCTCTCACTAATCTGTCGGCGAGCTCAGCAGATTCGGCCTCTAAAAGTTCAGTTCTTTGCCTGAGTAATCTATTTTCCGCCCTGAGTCTCCGTAATTCTACCATCTCTTCTTGCTCCTTCATCTTGAGTACGGTATAATCCTTCTCCAGCTTCTTCATCCTCTTTGGATTTATTTTCATGCTGTATGCCAGATTCATAAGTACGTCCGGATCTTTCTCAGCTTTGCTCGGTAATTGTTTCTGGAAAAACTGCATCAAATATTTCGCATTACGCGACTTTTTATTTATAATTTACACACAATTTACTATTTACAACGATATTCTATCTTTATCAAACAAATATATATGTATCTATATGTATTATATATATATATATATATATATATTTATATATATTATATATATATATATATTATATATATACACGCATATATATATATATACGCATATATATATATATATATATATATATATATATATATATATATATATATATATACACACACATACGTGTTTAGTCGATCGAAAAGCGAATGTTTAAATAAATACACACAGAAAAACGCGAGCTCGGTATCTGTAAAATGGAAATATATATTGTTGCTAACCGACCTACTTCTACTAACGCGTAGGCGTGACTTCATTGACAAAAGCCGTCTCGCACATCGATCTACCACGATGAGTTACGTACTCTCACGCCGCCAATAAAGTATTAACACCGTTCACTGTCCTTCGCTATACGTTTATGAAGTTGAAAGATGTTAACCAGCTTCTGAATCGAATTGAAACTGCTTAAATAACGTATTCAGATAACACACAAGTGTTTTATCAGGTAAAAATTATACTAATCTATAGATAAGTAGATAAATTATCCGACAGTGAACGCATTAATCGCTTTAATATATACACTTGGACTGTCCAGCCACGTGAAAATCATCATTACCTTCAACATGCCCTCCATATCCAAACTTAGTAAATCCTCCTTTCCTAAATGCAACATAGCCAGCGCAACTTTGAAGATTATCTCCATTCCTTCGGATAGGAATACATCAAAGATACGACAGGCGAGGGGTAGTCCCAGTGCCGTGGTGAACAGCGTGAGAAACCAAGAGGAGGCGTACATCGAAGTATGAAAACCTTGAGCCGTGAAATGAGCGTGTAGTTCGGGATGCGTATCGGCGACTAAATGTTCTAATTGATACATGCACACCCCTAATTCTGCCATACTCGGCTTAAACATATCTCGCAAACGATACTCTTGCATAAGCGCTACTAATACTGCAAAAGCTTCTTCCTCTGGCATTTGCTGCAACAAGCCGTTAAAAAAGAAATCGTTGAAAACAAAGGTAAAATCGGTATACTGTTTTTTCTATTTCTCTTTTTTTTTTCTTTTTTCTTTGTTTTTCTCTCTCTCTCTCTCTATTTCTTTTTTATATTATTTTGGATAACGGTCAGGAAGATATCCATCGCGTGTTATCCGTTATAAAAGGAACACAATACTGCACCTGCATAAGAAGCAATCCTACAATGAATCCCGAACCTTGGCAGTAGCCCACTTCGCGATCATGAAGACTATACGCTTTCATAACATTAAACAAACTCTCCTGACCAAGACCATCTTTTTCCTTAAAAAAGTCATGCTCAGGATATGTTCTCGCTATATCTCTCCTGATAATCCTCTCGCAGGCTGACGTTGCTTTGATATATTCTGCGAACTGTTTTTTTACAGGAGAATCGTGTGCGCCGCTCAACAATTGCCAGACGATACCCCTAAAATGTTTTTATACTCTTAAATCTCTAAATATATCTAACTACGCTAGACAAAGCACCGTTTAAGAAAGAGAAATAACAAATAAAGGAAAAACTTGTCAACTATTATAAACTAAGAAAAAGAAGATGCATAGTTCTATTATCGTTGTTGACATGAACTACGACGACGACGATGACGACGACGTTGCATATGCGTGTTCGCATATGTCCTACTTTTACGACATCACTATAGTTATGCAATATACAATATGTACAAAAAGGTAATCTTCTCTTTTTTTTCTTTTTCTATCTCTATCTTTAATAACTATCTATTTTTTTAATTTCCTTCTTTCAATTTACCTGAAGTGATGGGGTATACCCTGTCGGACTAATTCTTTAACAAAATCTTTTCTCTTCTTCCAATGATAATCCCAATCGGAAACTATGTGACCCCACAAACTCCAGGTGTTCTCTTCACCATCGGCAGTCGTGTGGCGTCGGGGTGCGGCATCTCCGTTACCTCCGCTACCCCCCGACGCCACGGAAACCTGCGATGTGTCCGAACCTTTCCTACTATGATTACTCTGAAGAGAGTTAAGCGACTTTGCATCCGACTCGATGAGCCTGTAAATAAAATATTTACTCAAATGACTATGCTTATAATTTCAAAATGATTCTTTAAGAATTTTAAATAGAAACGAATTTATGATCGAATACAATGGTAAAGTAATTGAAAGGCATAACAAAGAAAATAATTACGATTTAAAATAGAATCATTTTCTTCGAAAGATTCATCAGAATTCGTTGATCATAAATTTGAACGTGACCAGACGTCGCAAAGAGAAGAGAATCGTTAAGAACGCATTTGAATGTAAATTTAGGTACCTATTGGCTTCCTCCAGCTTAGCTAGTAGAGCCAGCTCGTCAATAGGAATTTCCTGAGACGAATTTATCCTCTCCTCCTGATAAAGTTCCGACAATGGGTTCGGAAATATTTTGTCGGAATGCAAAATACCGCACTGGGAAGACTGTTGTTGTTGTTGTTGTTGTTGTTGTTGTTGTTGTTGTTGTTGTTGTTGTTGTTGTTGTTGTTGTTGTTGGTGGTGGTGGTGGTGATGATGGTGGTGCACAGTGGTGCATAAACGAAGCAGGCTCATCAGCTGAGGTCCATGATGCGTCGACCCTAATTGTCCTACTGGAGTACCGTTGTTGTTATTACTTTCTCGAGTCCTGAAACAATTTCAATATTCATTAAAAAAGTGTGAGTATTTCGAACAAATACGAAGCATCACGCTATATGATGCTTCAACACGTTTTATTTAATTTAATTAAATGTTTTCTTTTTGTTTTGTATGATAAGACGAGGAGACATATTTATGATCTTCTTGTTCACGAAAATACGGTCTTGTTACGTCATAAAAAGAAGAAAAGGAAAGAAATCACAAGATTACGTACGACTCCATTAAAACTGTAACGACTTTGAAAAACATGTTCGTACGATGAGGACGATCGGGAGTCGAATAGAAGCTTAACATTTTTATAATACGCACGAAGATCAAATCCCGGCAAAATGCGAGCTAACGGATTTTATTAGCCTTCGAAGCAATTCTGCTGATAGGGAAACGCCCCGAAGTTACGTTGTTGCACAGCCAATGGAATGCTGACCAATCGTTCTATACATATATCCGTGATAAAAGAAAATAAATATACATCTACATGTACACCGTTGTCGTATGAATAGAGGAGCTCGACGATTTTCCGTAAAAGAATAAAAAAAAAACAAAATTTCGCTTTGTATTTCCCGCGTTTTCATCGTTGCCATCGTCGTCGTCATCGTTCATCTTGACATACGATTTACGCTCGACAAATTTTCAATAAGAGATTCGATTTTTTCCGCGCTAATTTTCAAGCGAATTCTCGAATTCAAACTACTTCTTTTCATTTCTTTTTCATTTTTTTTTTCTGTTTCTCTTGACTTCAGATTTTCTCGGCTCTTCAACAATTCCCGGAGTTTTTCCTTTCCGACATCATTGGATCGAGTGCAATAAAGCGTGACATCGTTAGCGCGTTGTTGTTGTTCGTTATAACTCTTATATTCCTGCCTACAGCCCTTCTCAAAACGGCAGTTAACGATGCTGTGGTACAACAACGGCGTTCGTTTCGAGAGACCAACGAACGCTCCAAGCAATCTGGTGTTCTCTCTCTCTCTCTCTCTCTCTCTCTCTCTCTCTCTCTTTCTCTCTTTCTCTCTCTCTCTCTCTCTCTCTCTCTCTCTCTCTTCTTTTTCTCGATGAGAAAAGACAGAGAAACAGAGATACAGAGTTATTCTGGATGCTGACGATACTAATAAAATGTTAGTGTTCGCTTTATGGTGCGTTACAGTTAGTAAATATATGTAAATCACAAATGCAATATACGAAAATATGTATATAGTTCGTTTATAAAATAATATAAAAAGGATTTGTAAAATAATACGAGAATAATATTGTAAGAATGATATGATAATAAATATGATAAAGATCTATCTTTTACTGAAGAAATAAAAAGAAAAAAAAAAGAAAAACAGAAAGACAAATATCTATCCTTGAGAAATCTATCTCGTTAATTTCTACCTTTTGGATAATTTATTCCGAATAAGTCGAGCAGTCGCAGGTGTCAGGATACCACGTAGGACCATAAAGATCTTATGTGGTGGTGGTAACGACTCCATTCCATTCTTCGTTTTGCTTATCTTTACGTTCATTCTCGGCTTTTCCTGGCATCGTAAAACGGTGCCTTGACGATTCCACTCGTTGGCAACGCACATTCCAACAAACGCATTCATCTTTGAAATATTGATAGAAAACCTTGTTAATTTTTATATTCTTCAATTATATTCTTTAATTTAAGACGTTCATTGTTTTGTCAATAGTCAACTTCTTCTTATGAAATTTAAAAAGTCCAGTTCCAAAATGGAGTCTTGATATTTCTCACGATCGATCGATCGTTGATCCACGAGCTTTAATTCATATGTTCGGAAAAAACTGAACAGGTGTTTACAGCAAAGGAATTTACTCGCTGTCTTCTACTGTCCTATAGATAATTAGATACATAGATAGATGATAGATAAATAGTTAAATAAATAACTACCTTTGAAGAGAAAGAGGAAACAATTAGCGCGTGTGAACGAATTACCGAGAGAGATAACAAGTTAAATCCGCAAGCATTCTTACGTAAAATGAGACGTACCGTAAACCAGGACAAGTATATACCTATGTATATATATATATATATATATATATATATATATATATATATCTTCAAGCTACGACAAGAATAAAATTTCTTTTTTGTATAGATCAATTGATCGACGAATTGCAAAATCGCGAAAAAAATATATCATTCAACATTTTTTTTATTTTTGTTTTCAAAGAACATTGCAGTCAGCACACGAACAAAAAGAGAAAAATTTTAATTATAAATCATTTAATTCATTCATTATCGAATATTTCCCAATGGACCAGGATAATCCGCATCGTTGAAAAATCATAGATCGTAGAAACTTTTCCTTATCTATCAAGAATCTTACGTTCTCGAATACTTTCATAATTCTCGCTCGAAATTTCTCTTTCTCTCTCTCTCTCTCTCTCCCCTCTTTTTTCTTATAGGAAAGGGGGAAGTAAAAGAAAAAGAAGGAGAAAAAGAAGAAGCAAGTAGCATTCGATCGGTCATGCATCCTAGTTTCCAACCGTGTTTAGAAGCGTAATATTACGATTTAAGGAATCGCATCGTTCGGAACGAGTAAGTGAGAGAGTAATAATAATAAAAAAAAATGTAATAAAAAAAATAGAAAGAAGAGAGAGGGAGAGAGAGGGAGAGAGAGAGAGAGAGAGAAAGCAGAGTATTATTACATATCACGTTTCATCGCGTTCGCACTCCTTTCCTTGCAAGACATTTAAAGCCACCATGGCCGATGTACAACACGTACACATATAAATACATATTTGCATAAATCTTTCCCTAATATTTCTTACCCACCCACGATAATAAAAACAATAAATAAGAACGAACAAATAAAAGAAATAAAGAGAGAGAAAGAGAGAAATAATTATAATTTCAGGATATTAATTATATCCTGAAAAAAACTCGATATCACTCGAGTCCTATTCCCTGGAGAATTCTCTTTTCGTTTCTTTGGCTCCGCCTTCTTATCGCGAATCTTCCGTCATAGTTCGTAGCATCCTTAGACGTGAAGATCGAGGTCGATTTTGTTGGTCCATTGCACTGAAGATAAGGACAGCATCCGAGTAAAATCCGATCTTAATCTTTCTTGGTAGACTCGTTACCAGTTTATCGTTATTGATTCTATTGTCTCCCTCTCCCTCCCTCCCTCCCTCCCTCTCTCTCTCTCTTTTTGTTTTTATTTTTTTTTCCTCTCTTCTCTCTCTCTCTCTCTCTTTCTCTCTCTCTCTCTCTCTCTCTCTTTCTCTTTCTCTATCTTTATCTCTATATCTGTCTCTATTTTTCTCTTTTCCTCGTCGATTAACCGGCGACGTCGAACGGCCAGGCACATACTGGGAAGTACGAAATGGTTTAAGGGTCGATGAAGCCCGCGCAGGGCAGGGATACTCCACATGCGCACCGAGGTCCGTTTTCACGACGTGCAAATAAAAGCGTCTTCCCTTTTCACCCTTCATCCCTCTACCCACCCTCCTCTTTCTTTTGTTTTTTCTACAACGTACTCTTTTCCTCACGTCGAAGAGTAATGCACCCCATTACTCGTCGATCCTTTTTTCTTTTCTTTTTTTTTTAGTCCCTACAATCGGTCTGAAATAATCTAAAAATCTTATGTAAATAGATTATCTATTGTGATTTAAAACTTAGAAGATCGCTGTTGCTATTGTCATTATAACATTGTCGAGATATTTTTGTAGAAAGATTTTAAACAATGTGAATAATCGATCATTATTGGTCGCGAAGAAAATGAAGATATTATTATCTATCAGTATAACCGATAAGCTCGGATATATACGTTCAACGAAAACAAGCAACCTGACCGATGCATTCTTTATGCGTTCAGAGAATTTTGAGATTAATACTTTCAATAGAAGACGAATGTTAAATGTTTGCAATAGATTTATATATGTATATAATTTCTTTTGACAAATAAAAATCGCAAGAAAATGATCTAACAATTTTAATGATTATGTATCATTATTATACAGATTATTCACATTAATTTATACGAATTCAAGAAATGTTTTATTTCGTTTAATTTAATATAATTTTTTTGAAATTATAAATCTTTAAAACTAGATTTTTCTTACAAGAATGTATATATGTGTGTACAACGTGTCTATGAATCTGTTTATGTGTGCATTTATAAATCTTTTAAACATGTGTGTGTGTGTGTGTATGTATGTGTACATAAATACATATATATATATATATATATATATATATATACATACATACATACATACATACATACATACATACATACATACATACATACATACATACATACATACATACATACATACGTACATACATACATACATACATACATACATACATACATACATACATACATACATACATACATACATACATACATACATACATACATACATACATACATACATACATACATACATACATACATACATACATACATACATACATACATACATACATACATACATACATACATACATACATACATACATACATACATACATACATACATACATACATACATACATACATACATACATACATACATACATACATACAACATACATACATACATACATAGATAGATACATACATACATACACTAAGTACATAAATACATGACGTATTCTGTTTAGTTACATTCGGTGGAATACACGTTGGTTGTTGGCGACCAGCCAACAATCTTATCGCTCAGAGTAATTTATTTCGAATACGTAGTACGATTTGTTTGCACCGAAAAATTTGTAAAGCTAGAGCAAATGAGATAGAGAAAGAGAGAGAGAGAATACAGTCGAAACGTAAAAATCCTTGTTGAATGTTTGACGATACAGCTTATCTTTTGAGGTACTTCGTCGATGGTTAAAGAGTTAAATGGAAGGTTTAGTTGATCTCTCAAACGTATAGTCGAAACGCATGGCGATTGACAGACATCTTTATCTTTTTTACCTTCTCTTTTCTTGGCGGATATATTTTTCGATAAGATAATTAGAAACATTAGTTAAAAAAAAAAGAAAAGAAAGAAAAAGAAAAAATAAAAAGAGAGAATCAACAATTCCCGTAAAAACGAATAGTTACTTTCAATCTATTACTACGAGATGTCATTCCAACGTAATTATGCATCATAACAATGGATCAATCTCGAAAAACTGATTTATGATAGTCAGATTAGCTATGCGGAAGAGAAAGAAGAAAAAGAAAAAAAGAATGGATATCGGCAGATACGATTTTTCTCTCGTAATCTATCACCGAAGTGAGTTTAACGAATTATTGTACATGGCACGTCAGCTTATCTCAATCAACGCTGTCTCGTTATGCCGATAAAATGAGAAACGATCGATGAATGACGTAATTGAAAGAAAATTTATCGAATCTCGATTATATTTTTATTTTTTTATCATAAAGACGATCTTAAAGTATTAAAATCGAACAAATTTGTATGATTGATTTGAAAAGAAAATGAAAGAGACAGAGAGAGAGAGAGAGAGAGAGAGAGAGAGAGAGAGAGAGAGAGAGAGAGAGAGAGAAATAAAATCATGACAAAGATATTTAATTGAAATCATCGAATAACGAAACGAAAAGGAAAGAATAAGTAAAAGAAGAGCGACGCATTTGTAATTATCACGCTATATGCCGTAAAAGGTTTAATCTTTTTATTTTCCCATTCTTGTCACTCCCACGAGAATGTAAAATGACGGCAGAAAATGACGACGTTCAAAAGAATAAGAATAAGAGAATAAACGACGAGAGTAGATGCAAACGAATAAGAGAATATATATAGCTTGGATATTCTACTTGTGTTTTAAAATATGTCCATCGAGATTCGAATTAGCGCGGGGAAATGTCGGATTTTTACACTCGAATGTTCTCCCCTTTGAAATCGTTTGTTCAACTTCCGGTCTCTCTCTCTCTCTCTCTCTCTCTCTCTCTCTCTCTCTCTCTCTCTCTCTCTCTTTCTCTTTCTCTTTCTGTCTCACTCTCTCTCTGCTTTTTTTTCCTCTATGTGTATTGTAGTTCATTGTTTGCCATGTGATTCAAAAAAAGAGCAATTTACAAAATCGATAAAAAAACGCAGAGGTAAAATAAAGGTAAAGAAAAATGTACATTGCTATCTTTTTCTCTCTGTCGTTTTGTCTGTTTCTATCTCTGTTTCTGTCTCTGTCTCTGTTTCCTTCTTTCTCTTTTTATACTGATTGAAAAGTTTTGCGGAACCGCTTTGAAAGCGCGTTGACCGTGAATCATCGGAATCGTACAATCGGCATCCGGAAACGCACATATATCTCTCTTTCTTTCTCTCTCTCTCTCTCTCTCTCTCTCTCTCTCTTTCAATTTTCTACTCGTATATATACATAAGTATATATATGTGCACATTGTACACAATCCATATAAATTGTTTCCGACGTTGTTGAGCAAGAGAAAGATAAAAAAAGAGTTACGGCTCGTTTCATTTTTTTTTTTTTTATTTTTTTTTTTATTTTCATTGTCGTCTACTTTGTGTTTCCCGCGGCAAGGAAGACGTCAAGTTAAACTTTGCGCGCTCAACTTGCAGCCGATTAAAATACTTCCCTCTTTCTCTTTTGTCTCTCTTCCTCTCTCTCTCTGTCTCTTTCTCTTTCTCTCTCTCTCCCTCCCTCTCATTCTCTTAGAAATCTTGCAAGCAAAAACGAAAAGTTAGAAAATTTGTCGACCATTCAAGAAGCGACGGAAGCGAAGAAAAACGTAAAATGAGAAACTTCCTTCGAGTTTACATTAACAAATGGACGTTAGGGACGAATCGCTAATGAAAAGAAATTAAAGTTAAAATTACTCGCTTTCACCGTTCTCTCGGTTCGTTCATAATTTCTTGGGAAGGCGTTGTTACCATATATGAGTTGAGTGTGTGTGGCGCGCGCGCACACGTCGCCATACGCATATGTATTCATAAGCCTCATGCTAAAGTTCTGACCTCATCCAGAGTTACCCTAATTCGCATAAATCTTCGTAGTGGTGCGAGCAGTCTTCCCTCGTTTATCACGTAACGTCTGAATAATTCGTAACGTAGCGTTCTTTCATATCTCAAATTTTAGATACTAATAAATCATGTGTAATTCAATTTTCCGATCATTTTTCCGATCGAATCGAACGGTTTTTCATTTTTTTTTCTTTTTCTTTTTGTTTTCCAAAATATGACTCCCAGAGTGTGAATAACATTTTTACTTTCTCCTTAAGTAAGGAAAAAGAAGGGAAAGAAAGAAAGAAAGAAAAAAAACAAAAAAAGAAAAAAGAAACAAGCATATCGAGCTCGTTAAAATTGTCAACGAAAGAACATATTTTATGTATGTACTTGGAAAGCTAATTGGATTCTATTTAAAATCGATGTCCAATTTCTCGATAAGCATTGAAAAATAGACGAAAATAATCGGCTTCGTTGCGAGTCAATTCGTTTTAGGTATTACCAAGGACAAAACTCTCTCATGAGACTCATAGTTGTTTGGGAGAATACATAGACATTATTTAAACTGTTATAACTTAACGCATTTCATTATTTTATACTTACAATCACCGATTTATGGATCATCGCTCGTACCAGACGAGAGAGAAAGAGAAAGAGAAAGAGAAAGAGAGAGAGAGACAGAGAGAGAGAGAAAGAGAAAGAAAGAGAGAGACAGAGAGAGAGAGAAAGAGAAAGAGAGAGACAGAGAGAGAGAGAAAGAGAAAGAGAGAGACAGAGAGAGAGAGAAAGAGAAAGAGAGAGAGAGTGATAGAGAGAGAGTATGTGCATATACACGTGTTACGTATATACATTCTCGTCACCGTTTCTCTGTCGGCCGAATGATCACCACCCTATCATCGCTTTAATTATCTCTGACGTCGCATACTTACTATTTTTCTATCAGTTTCGAAATGTTTTCATAATGTCGATCGCACGCTTTTATAATGTTGATAACGATCTCATCATTCTTTTCGATCAGTCTTTTATCGTCCGATACTTTCATTTGATTTTTATCGTTGAATTTAATGATAATTAACGAATGTCCTATCGAGATAACAAATAAAAGAGACATAAATAAACACAATATATCTTTATTCCTTAAAAGAACATAGAAAGCAAGAATTGTCACCATTATAACTAATGTATTATACTTAAAGGTAAATTTAGAATTACACTGCGTAACTTGTTAGTATTCAGCACTATCTACTTCACTCGTTCACCGTTTCCGTAAAAATATAACTTTACGACAAAAAGAGATAACAACGTGTTCGTTATTATACTAATAAAGAATAATAATTATCTTTGTCAAATCAATGATCAGTACCTAGGCAAAACTACATTTTTCAATTTTTATCACCATCTTGCATGAAACAATATAGAATTAAGATTGGTTAGTTTTTAGGAGAAAAAGAAGGAGAAAAAGAGAAGAAAATTCAATTAGTTGGTAAAATAAAATGTATGTAGAAAATAAATAAATTATATCTTGAAATATAAGCCATGTGTTCTTTGGATGTATTATATGGTCTCTTTATCGAATCAATAGATAAAAGTAATGAAGAATGTATAACGGAGCAGAAAAAAAAGAAAAGAAGGTAAACGAGTGTTTCACACAACTTTGCTGAAAAAGGGTATAATTTTGCCGGTAGGCTTTTTTTTCAAGGGCTACGGAACAACAAACTGTCAAGTTAATCACTTGCGACCATCTGGTTCTAACATACCAAAGTGTATTAGGTCACTTACCTCCAGCACGATTCGTATTCCGTAGATAACTTATTAAACAACGGAGCGTTGGCCGAAACGATGAAAGTGGCTCTTACTAACTAACGGAATAGGAAGGAACGCTTCTCGCAGCCTGACAAACATGTACGCAACTGTCACCGCTCGAAACTGTCATCACGATGGATTTGTCCACGCGCACAATGTTACCAACGAATGAACGCTTCTATCGCCACCATCTTTCTATAAGGGAATTTTCTTATTGCGAGGATTGTAAATGCGAAAGCAAATGTAGACGTCCCACTTCCTACGTTCTTTCGAATACCGTTACGAAACGCGAATCACATGACGTATAGAAAGTCAATTTGAATTATTATTGCATTTGGCGCGTTCGCGCCATCTTGCAGAGACAATTTCAACTGTAATAAAGGTACGTTCAGTATCGACGACAACGTCATTTTTTTCTCTGCCTTATCCTCGTCGAACAAGATATCGAAATCATCATACCTTGAAAATCGTGATTGGCTCGTATTTTCAATGATTTTAGAGACCAATTAATCGTCGTGATCTTTTTTCTTTTTTTTTTCATGCCTACAGTTTACACATTTCCGAGTGAAATTCTACGTTTTTTCTAGTGTATTCTTTGGCGTCATGTGATACGATATAAGTAGAATCCTTAGAGACGCGCCGTATTTTATTAGAAAAAGAAAATAGAAGAACATATATTATCTTTGAAAAGTGAACTTTGTTTTTCTTATAATGAATGTAAAACTATTAAATGAGATCGATTACTTGACTCGTAAGTTGTAGATGTTCATTACGCCATATAAATTTTGTCTAAATCCGTGATTACAAGGTCATCATTTCAGGTCTTATAAAAAAATATAAAAGTGAATCATCTGGAAATTTGCCTAATAGTAGTGCTACAAATAAACAAAATATAAATATGAATATATCGGAATGTCAAAGTAACTTAAATACATTTCCTAAATCTCGACCAACTGATATACTGACTTATGAAAAATTAAATAATAATATACATATAAAGCCTTCAACAATGTCCTGTAACGTTTATGTTAATCCATATTTTAAGCCACAAAATCCTGTGGTACATATCAATCCCAAAATGCATATGAAACCATTCATACATGTCAATCCTAAAATGGTGAAAAGTGTTGCTAGTACAAATGAAACTACAATGAATAATACTTCTAACATAATGAGTAATTCTCAACAAAATTTAACACAAATGGACATAAAAAAGTTGAAACTTCATACGAAACCTTCGATACATGTCAACCCAAAAATAATGACTAGCATTGCCAGTTCAACCTCAATGACAGAAAGTAATTATACATGTGTTAAATCAGGTATTAAAGAAAGTTTTATTCAGACAGATGTAAAAAAATCAGTATATATAAATCCAAAATTAATATCAAAATTATCATCGACTAAAGAATCAGAAATAGTTGAAAAACGAGAGACCGTACCAAATTTTAATCAACCTACATGTTCAAGATTAAAATTTATAAGAAAAATTGACACTGCAAAGACTCCCATAAAAAAAGCTAATATGTCAAATATTTTATTATTATCAAAAAGAAAACTAATAAGAGCTAAACGCACAATGAAAGGAAATGCTGTGATTTCTCAAATAGGTCCACAAAAAGTTAAAAAACCTTCTCCAACAAAAAAAATTAAAACTACCATATTACAGAGTACAAAAAATATTGTAGCGAATAATAATACATTGCAATGCAACAGTAATGATATAAACTTATCAAAGGTACATAATGCTAAAACAAAAGTAAATAAATACAAAATTGACAGGACTATACAATCATTAACAGAACCGAAGAAAAGTGAAACTTCCCAACCAAAGAAAGCCAAGTAATTATATTATATAAAAATAGAAATTGTTGGTCTATATATAAGTATCATTTATATTACAGGTATAATTTGATGGAATTAGTTACAATTGGAGGAATAGTATACAAATCATCTAGAAATCAATTAGTTCGAAGAAGTTACTCTTTAAAGAGTATGGATATTTTTTGACTAGATTAAATGTCTATAAGTATACCTATTATAATATGTATAGTTTTATATAATCATTTATTTAATTTTATTAAACTTATTTTAGGAAAACTTGCATCAAACAATAAAAATGATAAATTTATAATTACAACAAATGGTAAGAAACTTTGTAGACTCAAAATAAGTAAAGATGTATCTAATCGGAAGAATGCTATACAAACAACTGAATCTAAACTTGGAAACATGATTACATCAAAAATTACTCATAAAAATAATATTAGGTAAAGTTATTTGAGTCTTAATTAATTTATTAATATGTAATTGCACTTTAATTCTATTTTCTCTATCATTTTCTCTCTACAGTAATAAAGTTAAACAAAGGAGTATACAAATTTTGCGCAATAAAATGCGCAAAAATAACCAACCATGTTTGTTCTTCCAACGATTTGGATATTGTGCCAATCAAAAGAAGGGAACCTGTTCTAAACTTCATGACAAAAAACAGATCTCAGTTTGTAAAAAGTATATAGTTATTCTTATTTATGAGGGACATAACTCAGGAATTTATAATCTAAAAAACTTTGTTTATTATAAATTATTAATTATTTTTTAAGTAATATCTTTAAACAAATCTAAAATTCCACTTTTACATGCATACATATGTGCAGATTTCTTCAAGGAAAATGCTTATTGGATGCATGTCCACTTTCACATGATGTTGGACCTGAGAAAATGCCAACCTGCAAATATTTTCTAGAAGCCTGTTGTACGCGAGATCAGTGTCCTTATCGTCATGTCAAAGTTTCATCTAGTACTCCTATCTGCATAGAATTTCTGCAAGGATATTGTTCTAAAGGAAACGAGGTAACAATATTTTTATTTCTATATATACCATATTCTATAATCAGTAAATTATGTTTCTTGATTATAAATATGATCATAAATAATTCTACAAATTACAAATGTATTTACTTTATATGAAAACGCATGTAATAACTATATAACTAATAAATAACTAGATTAGTGATTTCTTCTTCTATAGTGTAAGCTGCGTCATGAGTATCTTTGCCCTGAATATAACAAAACCAGCAACTGCAGCAAAGGTAAGTATTGTCCCTATCCTCATAAACCAACTACATCTACTGCCCGACAAACCAATAAGTATTTACAAAAAGAACCTAATGCAACTAAAAGTCAAAGTATATCTACAATGGAGAATGATACAGAATTGACCAATCATGAATGTAGATTACGATATTATGAGAGTACTGATACAGTCAATAATGATCTTGCTATAACAAAGGATAATATTATGAAAAAAGTACAAATTATAAAAAATGTTGCAATAGCACAACAATCTGGCGATATATTTATGAATGAGGAATTCTCTAACAACAATATTGCAGAACCAAGCATATCTGAAAAAGAGTCAACAAATTTTGAAAACAAATTACCGAAAAGATTGCCTCTTGGTATTCTACCCGCTTTTATCCCTATTAATTAACAGACATGATTATTATTTAAATCATAATTATTTTAATTTTATTTATCTATGCTTTTTAAATGTTCATATGCTGGAAAAAATATAATTTATTTTATATTATGCATTATTAACTTTTCAACTTCAAATATTTTTTATTTTTGTCTTTGATAGTATTAGTAAATCATAAAATTCATTTGTCACGTTAATATATTTTATTTCTCTATAAGCAATATTGTGATACATGTAGTTAAATTAATTATATCGTGTAATTTTATATCTTATACCTACTATTATTTAATTGTACTTATTTTTACGTTTTTATTTTGCCACAATGAATTTTAAATCAAAGAAAAAAAAATTAGATATATTTATATTTTACTAAATTTATTTTTATTGTTAAAATAATTCCACACTATTAAGTTATATGTCCAAATTATTAATTAGTTATATATCCAATTATTTGGATATTATATATCCAAAATATTAAATTATATTAAAAATATATGAATTTTCAATTATGAGTATTATGATTGAGAGAAATGTTCACGGAATATTTAAAAACTGTAAAAAAGAAATATGCTCATTGATCTAAAGTACAAATATGTAAAATATTGCTCTCTAAAGTTAGAAGCATCTGAGTATATTTTAAATGACATTGTACTCTTAATCATTTAAGAAACTCGATCCTATTATACTCATATTTTTTCAATAAGAATATTATGCATCTTTAAGACTGAAGATGATTAATTTAATATTATTCTGCATTTAGTTCTCCAGCATGATATTTCAATTTTATATTTAAATTCTATAAGTCATTAAGTCGGGCAATTCATGTTTGGTATTTATGAGAATTTATATATTTATTCTTCCATATTATTTTTTATTATTTTCTCTGTTAGACATATACGAAGTATGAAAATTATATTTTGTAAACTGTATAAGACTCCTGTAAAAATAAAGGATGTATATTTGTTAATAAAGATTTTACCTCTAATATACCATTGTTTTTCTTTATTCATTTTATTTATATATTTTTTAAGTTAAAATATGTTATTAAATATTAAATATCTTTTATTAATTTAATAAATAAAAAGATATTTATAAAAGATAGAAACAGAAATAATTATTTTATTTATACAACAAATGTAAATTATTACTATGATTATAAGCTAAAAAAATCGGACTATGTAATAGTAAAGATAATGTAGAATTATCAACTGATGCTGATAATTTCAACCATTGTTCAAGCCAATCTTTCATACTTTCCATTGACATATTTACAGGATTTAATCCTCTAAAAGATAAGGCCTGAAAATATATCGATTAGATTGATCTCAATAAGACATACATTATTTCAAAATTTTTTGAATTATTTCCTTACCCAACATAATGATTCTATGGACATATTATCTACACCTCCCTCTTTAACAATGGCATTATCCATCCGTTTTAACAATATACCTCTTTCTATTAAACGTCTCCTTCTGAAAGGTGCCCATATAGATAATCCATGAATGGCAAGCAATTTTTTCTAAAATAATAAGTATTAAATATGTATTTACAAATTATATATATAATACATATATTATATAATATATGTATTAACAAATAAGGAAACTTTATTTAATTATTTACCATATATTTATGTTCAAGGGTATCCATTGAATATGGCGAACTTGCAAATAAAGTAATACATGATAACACATTTTCAATTGTTGGATGCTCACCGCTACCCAAACATGCCATGATTCCGTTCCATTTAATTTTTAATAGTTCATTATTAATGTAGTTGACTTTATTTTGCATACAATAAAATAATGGTCTACTGTATTTGAATCTTTTTTTATGAAAATGAAGCATAAAACTTGCTTTTTGTTCTGGTGTCCAAAAATGCTGAGTCAATAGTTGTCGTGGAAAGAAATATGCTAAAGGTATGATAACGTAGTTTGAAAAAGGAATCAAAGATGTTAGAATAACAGGAAAAATCTTAATTAGATCTTTGGGCATTGTATATGCCAACTGAAGCTCTTGTCTTGTTAAATTATTTAAACCTTCCACATTCTGTTTCATTATTATAGATATATATGTTTGTGAATCAGAATATAAATCTTTGATACCATTACGGAAGGTACGATATAAAACCATCATTTTTGGAAAATTCTTGTCTAAAGTTACTACATATGTTTTTAAATAACTTATATATCTGCCGAACCAATAGTCTTTTAGGTTAGATACTTTTCCTTTTTTTCCATCTCTATTTTCTATTTTTATAACATAACGTTGCACTGGATTGTATAAAAAACAGATGGAATTATGTTTTCCATAAAAAAAAGCTCTCGAAATAGCTTTATGCATAATTGTTAATTTTTGTTTCCAACTTTTATTACAGGTTGAATATATGAAGGTTATGTTTTTGTTATTTATTCAATTAAGATAAATCGGAGATCTTATGTTAGTCATTTCTAAATTTCACTTATTAGTAATCTCTTTTAACATACCTAAACACATTTATTTTATAAAATGAATTTATTTATTTTATTCTGATAAATGTTTGTATTTAAGCATACTGAATACTGGTAACAAATTAAACAAAGTAAAAATTTCGATCATTTTAATACAATCTCTTTTCTCAACAATTTATAAATAATATTAGAAATATTATATAATAATTTATAATATGTTGCAATGTTTTAACAAAAATATATTTTACAATTTTTCTAGAGTTCCATTAGAAAATATTATTTAAATAAAACAATATGATTGGTAGAATTTACTTTATCATTTTAGTAAAATCTTTCTTTACAGGATTCTACTCGCTTTTACTACCGCTTGCTACGTTGACCGAATTATAGAAACGTTCTGATAGGTTTCTGATAAAACTCATCTCTATCATTGGCTTCGAAGAAAACAGTCAGAATTTAATCATTTAAAACAAAGAAAGTAATTCGCCAAATGGAATATATGGATATACACACATACACGTATATTTTATTGAATTGAAGATTATTAATGGTAGTATACTTTGTTATCACGTAAAAACAATTCAAGAGGAGGGGTTATATCGTAGTTTGCTACTGACAGCTAATCTGTGTTGCTTAAAGTGATGTGATTGCGAATTATTTTATTATTAGTAATCTAAAGAATAAATATTATTAATAAAAGAAAAAACAGTATATATTAAAACATTTTCTAGAATACTTTCCAAGGATTACAATGTCGTTTGAACAATTAAATGGAAAATTGTCATTTATCACAAAAAAATTTGCCGAAGTCAGAGAACTACTGGACGAACATCGAAAATCTGATTTAGAGCGCGAACCTTATAAATTAAAATATGCAGCTATAGATCTACTTAAAGAAATAGAATTAAATCTTAATAATACCATAAACAGTGAACAAGAAGAAAAAGATAAAAATTTAATAACACTATTACTTGCTATTACTCACTTAAATAAAGGGATACTTCATGCTGATACAGAAGAACTAAAAGTTGCAGAAGAGCAATTTATGAAATGCATTGATCTACTGAGGGGTAGAGAATTGGAACCAGAAGGTGTTTTACCAGTTTTAGCAAGTCTCAATCAGTTGGGTATAATTTGGTCTCAATGGAATCAACCAGCAAAAGCTAAAGCATTTCTTGATAAAGCAGAACAGATTTATAAAGATTTCACAGATACAAAAAATTCTTGTTGTGATCCTGTTGATTTGGTATCAAATTTTGGTATTGTAGATGTTAAAGAAGGTTTAAGTACTAAACATGTACTAGAAAAAATACATATATTGACATTATATTACCTTGCACAAGTATATGGAGCTTTGAAAAATCATCACAAATCTGCAGTATATTGTCACATCACATTGCGCAGGCAATTAGAACAAAATGAAGTAATACAAGACTTAGATTACATAGAATGGGCTCTTAATGCAGCTACTCTATCACAGTATTTTATGGAAAATGAAGGTTTTACTCAGGCCAGACATCACTTAGCTGTAGCATATTACATATTGGAAAAATATGAAAATATGATGAAAGAAAAAGAAAATGAAGCAGACAGCGAAATAGCTGCGGCTGAATGTGAACGTTTCAAGCATAGAAGTGCTGATGTAGCTAGATGCTGGGCTAAATATGGGATATTATTGCTTAGTTTATCAAAACAGCGTCTTATACAAAAAGCAGAAAAGGATGAAACTGATCCCCATGACACCAGAGACAGTCAATTGAACTCTAAGTCAGAAAAAGATTCAGAAAAATCTTTTGATGATTTAAAATTTGATATTCTGATAGATGATATCAAACCATTTGTGAATCAGATAACAGATACATACCTTTTGGATTTTAATGATGCCAAACCTGTATTTTTAAATATTCAAAAATGGTTAGATCAAGCAAAAGCATATTATACTCTCGATAATCATGCATCAGATTATGTAGAAATTATACAAGATATATCTCAAGCATACAAATATTTATCATTTTTCGAAGAAAATGAAGATCGTCAGGCGAAAATGCATAAACGTAGAATAGATATCTTGGAAGCTACTGTTAAAGAGTTAAATCCTCAATACTACAAAACTGCATGTAGACAAATTTGGATGGAATTAAGCGAAACATATTCCGATATTTTGGATATTAAGTTGGATCGTTTACGAATAAGCGAAGATAAAACAGACCCTCATGCTTTAATGAAAATCAATCATTTGGCTAAAAGTGCTATTAAAAATTTTCAATTATTTTTAGATTCCCTAGAGAATAATTCTACAAATGCAAGGACTGTAACATTTCCTCACGATCTTGTGCAACCTGCGTTAGGTGCATATTTTCAGATGGGAAGATTGTATAATAAAATCATAACTCTTGACAAATCTATACAATTGCAGAATACTCAGAATAGTATTAATGCCTACCGATTTGTCATTGATTATTGCGAAACTCATCCCGAAGCTGCGGAGATAATGAAACAAGAACTAAATTTATGTGAAGAGATCGTTAATTTGCTTCCTATGAAAGTTAATAAATTAAAACAAGAATTATTGGAACAATAAATTCATTTGAATATTTAATACCATATCTATTAAATAAATAATTCCATGTGACCAGTAGTCTCGAGAAAATCGAATTTGACTGTTCTATGTATATTGAATATATGACGTTTTGTTTTTAAACGCAATGAAGAGTATCTATGCATATATTTGTGAAATATGTTTATAAGTATATTAATGTTAAAAAGGACTATTATGTAATTTTTTGATGTAAAATTTACACGATTTTTTGCTAGATCAAGCACCTACAATTAATCTATTTTATTATGAAGTTCTGAAATAAAAAATAAATGTAAATCAATCTAAAAAGAAACACGTTAAAGATTTCTATTTTTTTATAATATGTATTTAAATATTTGTTTTAGACGAGAAAACGTTTTAATAACGCCATAGACTCACTATTATAGATTATGACTATGATTATTTTCGATTATGACTATTTCATTATTGTGAGGTATATAAATATATATTGACATCAGTACTGCGAAAAAATTTTGTTTTTATTTCACAAAATAATATTACTTCTTTTCTGCTTTCTTGGTTGCTTTACTAACACCAGTTGTCTTATTTTTCTTAGCTTTCTTTTTTAATGTAAAGAAAGCATTTGTCCTCAATTTGTTTCTTATTTGTCTAGCTTTCCTCAATTTAAAACGGTCAAAGTCACTAAGCTCGGCGCGCTAAAATTAAGAAATTAAAAATTTGTTAATAGAAATTTATTTCATTATAAATATACTTCATTTTTTAAAAAATGTAAAGCAGATATTTTTAAATATTAATCTTTAGTACTTTATTTTTTATAAGTGTCTTTACCTTCTTCTTAGCTGCGACCTTCCTAGCCCACATAGTATTTTTCCATAAGTTATCTATTTCACCTTTTTCCCATGCTTTACGTACAACTCGTGTGGAACCGGTGTACGGAAAACGTAAACGGAATTTAGTAAGATGAAGTTCATTTAACCTCATTTGACCACGTGGTACATTTGCTGCAGGTCCATCAACCAGAACCTATTAATATTACAATTGATAAAAGGATTTGCACTAGAATTATACTACTGTCGATATATATATATATATAATTTTATTCTCAGATAATAAAATTGGCATCAGCTAAAAGTCAGCCGGCAATTCCTATCAATATAATGGGATCATCATTGAAATAATAAAATGCGAATAGAATCACAGATATCTACCAGGAACTATTAAATCTAACTTAATCTATAAAATATTAAGTATATATACTGGATCTATTAATAGTGTAAATAATTAATCATTTATACCCGGTTCTGATCGATAACATCAACAATTGCAACGAGTTTGCCTTGGTAAGGACCATCGCTAACGTAGGCGACTCGACCAGACTCCACAAACCTTTGGAATGGCTATAAAAATATCAAACATTATTTTTTGAAAAAATGATTAACTTTTTAATATAGATTGATATTAATATAAAATGGTATTAGCACATAAAGAAAGTTCGATTCAGTACACGTGTAACAAAGACGGCACTCTAAACAAACTATGCATACCATGTGGTTAGCTATTTGATTATAAGGTTATGTTAACCGACGCTGTACATATTAAATACACTATATATTAAAATTTCTAAAAAACATTAACTTAATATAAGTGAAGAATAGTATAAATATACAAAACTTAAATTTTACATTCTTACTATATTTTACATAAATAATATCGATGAAGTTCAGAACCACAATGCACTTACCATGATGTACCGGAAACGAAAGAATTGCACAGGATATAGTTGAATAAGAGAATCAATACCAAGACTGAAACCTTACGATCCCTATATCTTCTTATACGTTTCACTTGATTTCTTTTTTTTCTAGTACTACCAACATAACAGCAAAAGATTTTCCTAGAATATTTTGAAATATCGATAGTGATTCGCCTGACACTTCATAAAATGTGATAATAATAAAATTGTGTTATCAGCAGTGTAAATTCAATATAACCTATATTGATGAATATTTAGAGTACAGACTATAGAGAAATGAATGACAATGAATTTACCATTTATTAAAAATTTTTCAAACTTAACACATAGGATCTTAATTAATCACTGTCAATATAAAAATAAAAGCAAGTTATTATTATGTAATAATATTAAAGTAGATTTAATAAGATCAAAAACAACCAATCCCACTCTATATGAAATCAGGCGAAATGCTAAAAAATCTATTAATATATATGGATACTTTTTGCTGGTGAGTAATATAATAAATATATTTTCTTTCATTATAATCCACAAAAAAAAACTCATAATACAATGAATTTAAGGTTGTACCAATTTCAACATTTTTTCTTGGTACATGGCAATTACAAAGACGTCAATGGAAGTTAAAATTAATAGAGGATTTACAAACTCGAATAAATGCTGAACCTATTGATTTAGTAGAGAAGTAATTACAATATAGATATAAAAATATAATAATTATAATAAAACAAATAAATCTTTTTTATCAAAAATTGATCAATTAATATGTGAGAATATAACATTAATTTTTCAGTATCAATCAACTAGACGCTTTGGAGTATTATACTGTAAAAGCAAAGGGTAAATTTTTACACGAAAAGGAATTCCTTGTTGGA